ATTCCTGGACTGCCTCAAGGCCAGAGTTCCTGGAGACACGGTGCCCATGTCCTGACGCTAAGGATAGGCCCATATCCTCACCAACACGAGAGAAGGGTGTTGGGGGGCACTCCAGGCTCACTGCCCACTCCAGCTTCCCCAGTGAGGCTCATAAAAGCCTTTTGCAAGTGTGTGAGCTGAGCTGACACCTGGTCAGTCTCCACTCTGCTTTTTGACCTGTTGAAGTCCTTCCTTGCCCCTAGACTGGGCTCCTCACCCTTTTTTCGCAGACCCTCACCCCGATTCTATGCCAGAACCCCATTCCGCACCTCACACTCAGGCAGGTGCAGCGGAATCGGCCCTGCCCCGCTGGTTAACTCACACAGATTCCCACAGGGTCAGGCAATGAAGTTCAGGAGCTCACCCTATGACAAGTGCCACATACCTCAGTGCAGAGTATCACTACCACCCCCAGCTAGGTGCTCCCCTCAGGAAGTTAGGCACCAACACCAGTCACTGCTTAGTCCACCCTTCACAGCAATTTTGGAACTCTTTTCCAAGAGTGGCCATCAGAGATACTGCCGTACATGTATGTTCAAATTTTCCAATTGTTAGCTGCTTTTTTTTTTCATTGATTAGTAACTGTGTACATTAATGCACTTCTGGGTTACAGTGTGGGGTTTTCACAAACAATCCGAAACACTTCCATCAAACTGGTTAACATAGCCTTCACGTAATTTTCTTAGTTATTGTGTTAAAACATTCATATTCTACTCTTAGAAAGATTCACTTGTACCCTTGTAAGATGAACCACAGAAGTGAACCCTCGAATCCCTCTCCCTCCACACATTCCCCCCTCCCTCCCTCCCCCCCATATTCTTAGGCTGTTATTAGGTTATAGCTTTCATATAAAAGGTATAAATTAGTTTCATAATAGGGGTGTGTACACTGGATACTTTTTCTTCCATTCTTGTGATACTTTGCTAAGAAGAACATTTTCCAGCTCCATCCATGTGAACATGAAGGACGGAAAGTCTCCGTCTTTCTTTCTGGCTGCATAGTATTCCGTGGTGCACATATACCACAGTTTGTTGATCCATTCGTGGATCGATGGGCACTTGGGCTTCTTCCATGACCTGGCAATTATGAATTGGGTTAGCTGCTTTTTTGATGAAGACTGTCCAAGCCTCAGGCTTCCTCCACTGCTCAGCCATGGATAGTGTCCATCCAGGGCTCCTGCAAACAGGGTGTCCCAGAGAGGTCCCACTGCCTCCTGAGACTGCTCTGGCTTCCTGCCTCTAAGTCGATTAGCTGTGCACACACCTGTGGGTCACTTCGTGTGTCTCTTCCATCTTTCATTATTCCATCACAAAGCTCCAGATCGTCCTCGGGCCTCAGTCCATAATCATGGACTGCTTACTTAAGTCATGCAGTCGAAAGGGTCAGGTGTCACATTTTAGAGAAAAAAAAAATTCCCCATTTAGGGAATGCCATCTTTCCTTCCCTAAATGCATCTTTAACTCCTTTTTTTAATGATGTTGCTGACTGACACAGAATTTCACTGTTGGCTCAGTGCCTGTAGCTCAGCGGCTAAGGCACCAGCCACATACACTGGACCTGGAGGGCTCGAATCCAGCCCGGGCCTGGCAAACAACAATGACAACTACAACAGAAAAATAGCTGGGCATTGTGGTGGGTGCCTGTAGTCCCAGCTACTCAGGAGGCTGAGGCAAGAAAATCACTTAAGCTCAAGAGTTTGAGGTTGCCGTGAGCTGTGATGCCATGGCACTCTACCTGGCAACAAAGTGAGACTCTGTCTCAAAAAAAAAGAAAAAAAAATATATATATAATCCCCTATTTTCTGTTCTGTACCATATCAAAAGCTCTTGTTGAGAAGTTGGAGCATTTTAGTAGTGTACCTTCAGCTTAGCCTGACCCATGATGGAACGGAATCCAGAGTTGTGACGTTGTCCCTGTGTTTATGAATTAATGGTGGGCTACCCATTTTCAACAGGAGACTTTGAGTTCTCAGCTTCACTTTTTCAATTTGCATCTAATCAGTCCTGTAAGCCATAGTTTGCATTATTTACCCAGAGTAGATATGGAGATATTCTCTCTCTCTCTCTCTCTCTCTCTCTCTCACACACACACACACACACACACACACACACAGAGTAAGTAGATTAGCCTGGCTCCATCCCTCCGTTCCTTGCTGACATTAACCATAGTATAACTTCTGATCAGGTTCACTAAATTCTGACCTCATTTGAACATCTATCCAAAGGTTAAAACAGGCGATTCAAGCTAATTAATGATCTGTCATCTTGACACCAAAGAGGAATTAATAATCTGTAAAAACTTAAGTAATAAAATTTGTAAAGTAAGAATAAGTTATAAAGAAATAAGCCCACATTTAGCAGATCATAATGCCCATTTATACTAATTGATTCACCATCAGAAAGTCATGGTTTATTTTAAAGGGAATTAGAAAAAAAATTATTCTGTTTTCCGTAGGAAAAAATATCTATGTTTCATAAAACTGTTATACTACAAAGAAATTCCTAACAAGTTTCCTCATGAAAGTTACGTTTAATAAGGATATGTATGTGGCTGACATAGTCTGTTTTTGTATCTTTGGGTACATCTCCCTTCTATGGAAACAGAGATGTCAGAATGTCACCCAATCTGATTAAGATGGAAAGATAGATATTAAAAAATATAGAATTCCAGAAAGGAATTTTGTATTGCTAAAATGAAATATTGTTGTTTAGACCGTTAAATAAACAAGTTGGTGTGAATTAAGACATAGCCTAAGAGGAGAGTTTTCAGAGAAATGAACATGACCCCCTAATTTCATGCTGTGCGAAAGGTGGGTGTGTTCCTTCCGTGAGTAACCGATAATTAAACGGTTGATTCTTACGTTGATATCATCAAGAAAATAAACAAGCAAACTGTCTCCCCTGCCACCCACAAAACTCCTGAGCCACAAAGCTGTGATTTGCTCTTTGCGCAAACACACAAGACTCCTAGCTTAGAGCTCTCGCCAGCAAAAACCCAGTGTTCACACATCCTGGGGAGATACAATCACCTGTTCAGCTCCTAATACGTTTGTCGTCCTGTAGTTAAGACCCTAAGTGCTTATTGCTTCAAATATCATAAAGAAAAAGCAAGCAGCATGGGTTGGTTTATTATCAAGTCTAGGTAGCATTTTGAACAGTTTGTATCCTCCAAACTTTACTTAAATACCGAATCACAACAAAATAGCCAAAGCGTTTGTGGTCTCCATGCCCTCAACTGCACATACGTGATTCCACAATCAGGGAGGCTGCGTATTTATTTGTTCCCAAAGGTGGTCTCATTCAGTCCAGTGTGCCACATAAGGAAAGAGGCATTCTGTCCGAAGCAGACTCACCGCCCCACCAGTTGTCAACATTAGTGCATCCACGCTACGACAAAAGCTGTTTGAATCCTTTGTCCCGTTACAGGGTTTGGGGCTTTTTCCTGCCTCCTTCTTGGCTGTCTCTCTGTTCAGTTTTTACTTGAATAGTTCATTAAAAGAAAGACCTCCACCCAAGTGGCTGCGGAAATAAGAGCTCTAATTGGTCTGGGGAAGGATTTTTTATCCACCAGCTGCCCCATGCAGAAAGCTGCTCCTTGGAGCGTTTATGCCCCAAGACAGGCCAGAACAGCACATGGAAATACCACACCCAAACGTTAATTAAACTCCTGAGTCCCATTCAGATGTGGACTTTATGAAGCAATTGTGGGTTCTGTCACCATAACGAGAGCCCTGGGCCACAGACCGTTGACATAATGAAGCCGAGTCTCCTCATTCCTTTCTCAGGCCCTTCTTTGTAACCTCAATGATACTCAGCCCTAGTCGGAATTATTATAATTGTTTATTTCACATTTTCAGGAGAATCTGATTGGAAAACAATTTCTAGGGATGGGAGTTTACCAAAGATTAAAAAAAGAGAGAGAGAGAGAAAAAGGTAGGAAAAAATGTCTCCGTATACAAAAAATTTATAGCATTGTACATAAGGAATGTTATGCAGAAAACACTCCCTATTCTCTCTAGGAAATATCTCTATAGTTTCCAGAAATTATTTCTCTCATTGCAGGAAGATTTCTTCCTCTGTTTTTCTTTCTTCTTCTCTAAAATTGGCTTATGGAAATGCAAACTGAGAACAATGTGATGTCCTTGTGTCATAACCTTACCGTGGTTACTCTTCACAGAAAATTCAAATTTGAAATCTGCCCGCACATGAAGCTATCCAAATTTTACTAGCATCGAATTAAGTTAATATATGTAGGACCATTGTGTTTACAGATTTTCACAGCTGTTATAAAGAAAAGGGCCTTTTTTTTTTTTTCTCAATGCAAGCACATTATTCTTTAAAGCAGCTAGAATCATCAGACTATATTTTGCTGTTTGGTTGCAGAAAATACTGGCAGCCACGAGGGTCCAAATTCACGTTAGCCAAACGGATTCTAAACCATGCTTGGAACTATCTCTTGCTCACAGTAGGGTAGTAAAAATATCAATATTTTTCCTTTTAAGACTCGAGGAAGGAGCTGATTTCCTATGTCCTTAAGGTAGAAGGATGCTTTGCTTACATCTCTCATTTTGCAAACTCGAGCGTGATAAAGTGCTTAATTCTGCTACTTTTTGTTGATTCATTCCTCGACAGATGATTTGGGTAAAGAAAAAAAAAACAAAAACATATAACGCTCTATGCTCATACTGGCTGTCATCTACACATAAACCGCTGCAACGAGGTTCAGAGGGTGAGAGATGAAAATAATTAACATCATTAACTGTGTGCATGCACTGGGTGTTCAGGGAATACAAGCAGGGCACAGGGTAAGTGGCCGTGAGAACCGCATGCAGAACACGAAAAGATACATGAATCGACCGCTTGTCGAAATCATCATGCAGGAGTCACTCTGAAACCTTCCTGGCAACCCTCCCCGTGAGTCAGCAAAGTGGCCGCTCTATTTGGCTCGCACGAGGCACTTACCGTCTTCCGTGGGGACGTAGATGTTTAGGTAAAGGCAGTCCTCGTTTTGATCTTGAACGTACGTCATCAGAGTATCCAAATTGGCCGTGAACCACACAGGCAGCATGTCGTGCAGCAAAGACCTCTCGTCCAGGTGCTGGGGACAGACGGCCGCAAACTGGGTGGCGTTTCGCACCCCGGTCCACGAGGAGGGGGGCTCCGGGGGCTGGAATCGCCTTTCTCCTGTGGGAGGTGAGGCGTAAGGGACCCCCAAGTATTGCTCCACCGGACCCAAAATCTCATTCGGCAAGGGTGTTCTTAAGCCCCGGATTTTGCCATAATTGGTGTTGACAACAGGGTACTGGGCTTGGCTGTCGATGAGGGTGAACTTGATGGCCAGAGCGGTGATCCACAGGAGAACATTGCAGTTTAACATGACGCAGAAGGGGGTGAAGAACAGGGGTAGCCATAGCAGTCCCCTGGGACTCGACATGGTTCATGCCCGCATCTGCAGCCGACCCACAGGTGCCACGACTCCAAGGGGTCCAAGCCGTGAGGCACACCCAGGGAGAGCGGGAGGCCCAGGAGAGACCCTCAGGCTGAACAGAGACAGAGGCCAGTGGTACGGATGAGCACGGTGGGTCCCATCATGACAAGGCACCCCTCCTTTAATCCTGAAACGGGATTCCAGCAAGGAAGCAGTGTCCACCAACACCTCTCGGGACCAGGATTCCTTAGAAAGTCTCCGAGGCAGCCTGGTGGGAAGAGAAAGCACAACAGGTGAGAAAGCCCAGGGGGTGACTAGCTATCACTCCCCCATGCAGTCTGCAACACCCCTCTCTATGAGATTCTTATTCACCCGTGAACCAGGAGACATCAGCAAGAACATCACTTGTCTCGAGTCTTGCCAGATACCCCAACTCTAGCAACAACGCATCAAATTGAAGAAACCGTCCCCTAGTCTTTGTTGAAGGAAAAAATAACTCCACGAAAGTTTGTATGGGTTACACAGATGACTTGGAGGACACTTCGTGATTTCGTCACTGCTTAAAAGGTGGTTGATACTCCCAAAATGCTGTTTCTCAAATGCTGAAGGAGATGAGTCACTTTTTCCTAAGGGGATACGGGTGGAGCTGTGAGAGCTTTTCCAGAAAGGGGCAAAGGGAAGCATGCATTCGGGCCAACCTGCCTTCACCATACGTAGGTGTTTGTCAGATACCAGGATAGAAAGAAGGGAGGATTTGGACACAAATCTGCATCCGTTTATTCAATTACACATAAAATCAGGCAAAAGACTTCATCGTTCTGAATTTCTACTTCATTGTAAACAACTAACCAAGAGGCCACCTTTTAAGTACTGCTGGCCCCTGGAAAACACTTGCAGAATTAAAAGCGTTGATAGAGTTATCTAAACGTTCAAGTGACCCACTGCTCGCCTCACCCTTTGGACCATTTGAAAACGTCTCAGTCAGCTTCTAATTGAGCTGGAAAGGAGTCACCTTGAAAGGGTCAGCACCTGGGTTTGTTAGGTAAATTCATCTTCACAGACAAGATAGAATGCTATGTAGCCATGGACTCTATGGTAAATTATCTTTTAGAGATGGAAAACAATTCTTTACTCATCGCAAGAACCACACCTTTAAACAGAGTGTTTTTCAGCTCAAGAACAGGCAAATGTGTTTATAGGACTGTGTAGGTTATTCAGAGTATTTTTGGACTAGAATATAATTATGCATTTTATTTAAGTAAACAGTTCAGCAGAATATGTTTCACAGTTTTGTTTTGTTTTTTTAATAAGAGAGATCAAAGCTGAATGTACCCTAAAGCAATAATACCAGTTGGGGAGATTCCGTAATGCCTGACATCTTGGGCAAAGTTCATCGGAGTCGAATGGAAATGCACTAAAAATCTGGATTGTAACTCTGAAAGTGAAAAATTGCATCTCACCAAGTGGCTGATTTATGTGTTTGCTTCTATCTTTCAATCCTACAGTCGACAACATTTGGATGTCTGCCACACAGCGATACGATTTCTGAATAATTAAGAGACAGGCAGTCACAACAAAGAGGTGGTGACATGTTGTCTGGGTGCTTCAGTTTTCCTGAAAGCCCTTCTGCTTTTGAACTAGCATGAGGTCTTCCTTCCAGACTCTTTCCTGGAGTGACAGGTGATACCATCAACTTTCAATTCAGACCAACCATGGAATGCTAAGTCTGTGAGCTCAGGGGAGTAGGTGAACGTCCGTGGACTTGACGTAAAATGATGCATTGCAGCTGCTTTGGTACTTGTGCAGTGCAGGTAGCCAGGCTACACAGCAGAATATGCCCAGTTAATAAATACAACAAGCCAGGATTTTAAACACAGAAACCCATGGGCACAGGGCGTAAGGGAGCACCTCCCTGCTAGCATTGAGTAGACGTAGAGGAAGTCATTAAAATTCTTTCTACCTCACTTTACTGATGTGTTAACCAGTACTTAATGAGACAGTCTACTCAGGGTACCACCCACTCCCCAGAACACAGAGCCCAGCTAATGCAGAAGGCAGTTAGGAGATTTGTTCCAGGGCTTACGAAGTCAACTCCCTAAGGAATTCTGGCCCATCCCTTTCAGTTCTCAAACTCAACCGGGATGAGATTATTCAAGTGCTGCATGACCAAGCTGGGACATGGCCGGACTTCATGCTGGGAACTGTTCCATCTTGTTCCTTCTCTGTCTAAGCACAAATCCCCACAAGGTGCCTTGGGGCACTTGTGAACTTACGTCAACCCAAAAGGAGGAGGTCAAGGGTATGTGCACACGTGCTGGGTTGAGGTTCGGCATGCCTACGAATCACAAGCTGAGGGATGTCTTTTTCTCTTATGCCCTCATGTTTTGAAATTTGGCTTCTGGGCACACCAGTAATGCCATCGAAAGTCAAGGGCTCCTCAGTCTCAGCACCACTGATATTTTGAACCATAATATAAAAATTCTTCGTGATGCATTACTGGGTGTTTTGCAGCACCTGTGGATTCTAATCATTAGATGACTGAGGCACCTCCATGTTCCAAAAGTTCTCTAGATGTTACTAAACGTTCCCATACGGGCCAATCTCACCCCCGTTTGAGAGCCACTGATGTAAGAACTATGGCCTGGCGTGGCTACATAAAGGATTACATGTTTACAAGGGCACATTCATAAAACAGGATCAGCATTGCTATAGATGCGTGCATTTATGTCCTATTCAACCATGACGGAACTCTGAGTTTTTGTCATTACAAGAAATGTTGATTCTGGAGAAAAACTATTAGATGGGTATCATCATAATCAAGGAATCACTGATTAGGAATCAATGTTCAGCAGCTTCCATCCTTGGGGCCAAAACCATAAAACATCTCCCACATGAGTTTTGCAAACTTAAAGAGGAGTAAAATGTTGTTATAGATAGACAGATACACAGATAGATACATAGATAGACAGATAGATAGATAGACAGATAGAGAGATAGATAGATATGGTAGATGAATGGATGGATGGATAGGATATGTGGATAGATAAATGAGATGGATGGATTGGATGGATAGATAAATAGATAGGATACATGAATACATAGACACATAGATACAGTAGATGGATGGATAGATAGATAGATGAGATGGATGGATGGATAGACAGATAGATAAATACAATACATGGATAAATAGATACATAGATACATAGATAGAGTAGATGGATGGATAGATAGATGGAAGATAGATAGATAGATAGGATATGTGGATAGATAGATAGATGAGATGGATGGATGGATAGACAGATAGATAGATACAATACATGGATAAATAGATACATAGATACATAGATAGAGTAGATGGATGGATAGACAGATAGGATACATGAATAGATAGATAGATAGAGTAGATGGATGGATAGATAGATAGGATACATGAATAGATAGATAGCTAGATAGATAGGATAGCTGGATAGATAGATAGATAGATAGATAAATAGGATAGCTGGATGGATAGATAGATA